AGTGGAAGAATGAAGACTCTGAATATTCCAACAATTTATATGAAATGAACGCATTAGTATTATTAAAGATAATCCTATTTTGTAAGACAGAGAGAAAATAACTTGTGAGAATGTACAGTATATGGTAAACAATTTACAATAGTGTATTTTTATTAATTTTTTTGTTAATCTTAGCGCACTGTGTTTGTGCATATTGTCCTTATCTGTTCAGGAGCTGGTTGCACAGTGTCTGCAGCATCTCTCTGATCTGGCTCAGTTCGCTGGCAGGTGTGGAAGTGCTGGGTGCAGCAGGGGGCCGGGCTGCAGCTTCAGCGTAGCTCTGTGCTCTCAGCCGTGGGGGCTTCTCTTGGTGTGGGGTGGCTTTTGGTTTCTTCTTTCTTATGGGGGATTGATTGTCAGCAGGTGGTTGTGAAGTTGGTGACTGTATGTTTACAGCACCGTGAGGAGCTATAGGTGGGTGTGGTGGATGATGTGGGATCCTTGTCCAGGCGATGTCTTTCTTCACCGGGGTCGGAGGGGGATGTCTGGGCATGTAGGGGTGAATGGGCCGGTAGGGTCTGGAGTCGGTAACAGGTGCCTTGGTGATGATGGTCTGCGGCCTAGGGCTGCATCCTTTAGGGTTTTTGCAAAAACACGTACTGCATCTTTATGGAGGTGAAGTCCATCATACAGATGTTGGAGACCGATGTTGTGGTGGTGGGCCAGGTGTACATTAGGGAGCGAAGAACATCCATGGGACATTTCAGCATTAATGCTGTAGATGATGTGTGGTGGTGTGTTGCATCGTGGGAGAAGTGTGGAAATTATGATTCGGGACTCTGGGAACTTTTTGCTGGTGATTTCTGCCATTTTCCTCACAGCATCAGCAGTATTGTTGCGCAGTGAGTGAAGGTCATTAGTTCCAGTGTGTATAATAACACGTGAGGGGTGTCCTGTGAAGTCTTTGATGATCTGGTGGATAAATGCAGAGCACTAATTCCGAGTATGGAATTAGTGTTAAAGGTCACCATACTTGGCCACATGTCACGTCACTTTCACTTACCACAACCCATTTTGTAAGTAGTACAACCAGAGCTCTCATTTGGAAGAAAAACTTCATGATCTGCCACCGACTGAAGAGAAATACAGTCACTTTTATTTGTTTAGTTTACAACACTGATGACAGAAGAAAGTGTTATTAAACCTGATCTGTTAAATGTCCTCATTTGAGCATTGGTCCATATTAAACTACTGTTTCATGAAATATGCGAAAAATGTATGTTTTGGCCTGATTGTTATTGTTATTACCACATAACCGCCCCAGACATACAGATACTGTCCGCCGCCGTGTGTCCGCTCCTCTCCCGAGCCACCGGCTGCTCTGCACTCATCTCGGTTATCAATATTATTAACAGTGCTGATATTAATATTAATATTAATATTATTATGAGCTGATACACGGGAGCGCGCGCGAGAAAGCGCTTTCTCTCTCGAGTTTTATTTCATCCCCTTATTCTTTTAGAAACGGTTTTATACGAAACGAAGCTACTACAAACAAAACAGACTGTTAATATAGAGAAACCCAAGTGTAGCGGAGGAAGTAAACACGGCTTTTATTTTGAAAGGTGCTAGATGTTTACGAACTTGTTGGAACGGAAGCGGAAGCGCTTGTTTGGCGGGAGCAGATGAAGATGGACGCGCGCAGAGTGAAGCTGAAAGTGAGCGCGGGATTTAAAATGCGGGGATTAATCCTGCGACCGTATGTGACACTCACTCGTTACAGCAGTTATCTTCATTTACTAGGTTTAATCTGCAGTAATGAGTGTTAAAGGGTTTGTGTCGGTTTCAGGGAGTCCAGCCGCGTGCTGCTGCGGGTTCTGGAGTCCGTCACTGAAGCGGATCTGGAGGAGGTTCTGGAGCGGATCCTGGATGCTGTCGAGAAACAACCGCGTATGCTTTACTTTACCCTACTTTATCTTACTTTACTTTACCTTACTTTAGCTTACTTTACTGTCTGTCTGTACAGTTTTTCTGGACGGTAATTTACCACACTGATGATGATGATGATGATGATTGTTATTGTTATGATGATGGTGATGAGGAGGAGGAGGAGGATGATGATGATTGTTTGTTATTGTTATGATGATGGTGATGAGGAGGAGGAGGAGGATGATGATGATTGTTTGTTATTGTTATGATGATGGTGATGAGGAGGAGGAGGATGATGATGATGAAGATGATGATGATGGTGATGTTCTGTGTCTCAGTGGGGTCCAGTATGGTGGAGCTGTCGGTGGTGGAGGCGGCGGTCCAGGACTGCAGTCAGGCGTGTGATGAAACCATGTGAGAATCTCATTAACATCTGAACTGACACACACTGTTTGTGCTTCTGTCTCTGACATTCACCTTCTTTACTCACAGCGACAATGTTTTCAACATCATTGGAGCCTTTGACGTGCCTCGATTCATCTTCAGCACAGAAAGAAAGAAATTCGTACCGTGAGGAATAATTCAATAAATAATAATAATCAAGTGAATGTGACTTGTGTCTGAGTAAAAACGTTAACAATATCAACACTGGTGTGTCTCGTCTGCTGTGTTTGTGTGTGAACTTCAAGATGTTGTCCATCTACAGGAATATGAAGTTTTGAGATCAGTGTTTATTCTTTTTCAGCATCAGCATGACGAATCATCCGGTCCCTAAACTCTGCGGTCAGTCCAGAGATAAAGCCGAGCTCTTCAGAGAGAGATACACCATCTTACAGCAGGCAAGTCACTTTGTCTTTGCTTTCGAACGATCGCGACCGATATTTATTTCCTTCCTAAATCATGTGTACTTGTGAATGCTTGTGCAAGTTGAGGTGTTAACATCTGTCATTCTGCTCGGGTTTCATGAATGAAGCCTATTGTTTCAAAGCAGCTCAACAGAAATTCATAATGTTTATAATATCTTAATGCATCATGGATAGCAAGGGTTTTCATGCAGTGACAGAAATTTTGCAGTGATTAAAATAAGGTGTATGTAGTCCTGAAATCACAGAGCACTTCTGAGACGCATGTTAACAGCAGGTGTAAACAGGGTTATCGTTATTTAATCATCATTCGTTTTCCAGAGAACACACAGACATGAACTCTTCACTCCTCCTGTTATTGGTTCAGCTCCAGATGAAGGGAGAAACAAATTCCAGGTGAAAATGAGCAAACCTCACTGTTGAGACGGTTAAAGGGCAGGCAGACTATTTTCAGTCGGTGCTGATGATCTGTGACTGTTTTACAGCTGAAGACGGTGGAGGCTCTTCTGGGCAGCACAGCTAAAGTGGGAGAAGTGATTGTTCTCGGCATGATCACGCAGCTTAAAGAGGTATTCCTTCACTTTTCACGTTCATGCTCATTTCTGTTCAGCTGTTTGTGGTTCGGGTTAGTCAAGGGCTTGTTGTGGGTTAGTTAAGGGTGTCGTCAGCTGGTCTCAGCAGATCGAGGGGATGTTGGCAGATGAAATGAGGAAGGAATTAGAATGATTCCTTGTGAAGAAACATCCAGCCGTCACTCGTTCACTGGTCGTATATTCAGGTTTTTAGTCCATATTGACTTCAGTTAATGAATTCTGTTAGGAGTTAAAGGTAACTAATGACGTCAAGGAGGCGGTTTAATAGAGACTTAACTTTACCTTTACTCTGTCCAAAGTAGAATAGTCAACATCAGAGCACGTATACATAATGATCACTTCATATTATTATTAAAATTAATTGAGCCAATGTTGATTCTGAAAGAAAAGGTGTCCGGGATCCTGCTGTTGCTATAAAAATGAACACAGCTTTCACATGCATCTGATTAACAGGTAACCGCACATTCGTATGTCAGTGTTTCAGTGTTAATTTTGTGAATATTTCAGAAAGTTTGCTTCATACATTCAGTTTTATTTATTTAATGTTTTATTTGTTAGGGACAGATACAATAAACATAGATGAAAATGTAAAAACAATCATCCCATGCATGTACCATAGTGCTTGTAGCCGAAGCTAATTTGCAACACTTGTCCCTAGGTTATAGCAGTAAGTTAAAGAGTTTATCGTGAGCATGAGTAGTTTAAACACTTACATGATGTTCTTGCTCCGTCCACGGAATAATGAGTGGTTTTCTAGTGCATTCGCTTTACCTTCTCAGATAATTTCAAGGGTATGAGCCATTTCAGATGCAGCCAAAATGACAACAAATATAAATATATTTGAATTGTCTGATTGTTAGGGGCAGCTCATTAGTGGCTGGACATTGGTAGAGACGCGTCTTTACTAAACTCTATGGTCTTGACTGAAGCATCAGTCTGTTATTGAGGTTCTGCGTCTGATAGAGCAGTCTAGCACTGAACTTTGAGAGAGAAAACACAGACACTCAGACTTTCAGAAACTCACTCCAGGGTTTTTGTGTCGTGTGTCTGCTCATACTCACTCTACTTTCAGGGCAAGTTCTACCTGGAGGACCCCAGCGGTGCAGTGCAGCTCAACATGTCAAAGGCAATATCCTTCCCGTGTTTATCATGACACACTTGTGCTGCTGTCTTAGAGAAGGTTCTCCGTTTGTTCTTTAACACTCTTCATACCAGTTCCACAGCGGTCTTTACACCGAGTCCTGCTTCGTTCTGGCTGAAGGTGAGTCTCGTTCTCTCTGCTGTTCTGCTCTTTCCATGGATCGTGGATCTCTGTAATCACATGATCTGTCTGTGTTCACAGGATGGTACGAGGATTCAGTGTTTCACGTCAACGCTTTTGGGTTCCCACCCACAGAACCCTCTTCTTTCACCAGGTGTGCGTTAGCTTCTGTTGACTGTAGTATGGACTGTGTCGCTGGCATAGTTCTGCATCCACATGGAGTTTTCTTGTCTGTGTCCAGGGCTTATTACGGCAATATAAACTTCTTTGGCGGGCCGTCCAGCACTGCGGTCAAAGCATCGGCCAAACTGAAGCAGCTGGAGGAGGAGAACGAGGACGCCATGTTTGTGATCATGTCAGACGTGTGGCTGGACCGTGTGGAGGTTCTGGAGAAGATCCAAACCATGTTCTCAGGTCCAGTGATTCTCTTGCGTGTTTTAGTTTGTGCTCCCAAATCTGCTGATACAGATCATATGGTGAACATCATCTTTTAATATAGTCCTCATGTGCTGCAAAATAGTTCTGGTACCGTCAAACACCATAGTGCTTGTAGCCGAAGCTAATTTGCAACACTTGTCCCTAGGTTATAGCAGTAAGTTAAAGAGTTTATCGTGAGCATGAGTAGTTTAAACACTTACATGATGTTCTTGCTCCGTCCACGGAATAATGAGTGGTTTTCTAGTGCATTCGCTTTACCTTCTCAGATAATTTCAAGGGTATGAGCCATTTCAGATGCAGCCAAAATGACAACAAATATAAATATATTTGAATTGTCTGATTGTTAGGGGCAGCTCATTAGTGGCTGGACATTGGTAGAGACGCGTCTTTACTAAACTCTATGGTCTTGACTGAAGCATCAGTCTGTTATTGAGGTTCTGCGTCTGATAGAGCAGTCTAGCACTGAACTTTGAGAGAGAAAACACAGACACTCAGACTTTCAGAAACTCACTCCAGGGTTTTTGTGTCGTGTGTCTGCTCATACTCACTCTACTTTCAGGGCAAGTTCTACCTGGAGGACCCCAGCGGTGCAGTGCAGCTCAACATGTCAAAGGCAATATCCTTCCCGTGTTTATCATGACACACTTGTGCTGCTGTCTTAGAGAAGGTTCTCCGTTTGTTCTTTAACACTCTTCATACCAGTTCCACAGCGGTCTTTACACCGAGTCCTGCTTCGTTCTGGCTGAAGGTGAGTCTCGTTCTCTCTGCTGTTCTGCTCTTTCCATGGATCGTGGATCTCTGTAATCACATGATCTGTCTGTGTTCACAGGATGGTACGAGGATTCAGTGTTTCACGTCAACGCTTTTGGGTTCCCACCCACAGAACCCTCTTCTTTCACCAGGTGTGCGTTAGCTTCTGTTGACTGTAGTATGGACTGTGTCGCTGGCATAGTTCTGCATCCACATGGAGTTTTCTTGTCTGTGTCCAGGGCTTATTACGGCAATATAAACTTCTTTGGCGGGCCGTCCAGCACTGCGGTCAAAGCATCGGCCAAACTGAAGCAGCTGGAGGAGGAGAACGAGGACGCCATGTTTGTGATCATGTCAGACGTGTGGCTGGACCGTGTGGAGGTTCTGGAGAAGATCCAAACCATGTTCTCAGGTCCAGTGATTCTCTTGCGTGTTTTAGTTTGTGCTCCCAAATCTGCTGATACAGATCATATGGTGAACATCATCTTTTAATATAGTCCTCATGTGCTGCAAAATAGTTCTGGTACCGTCAAACAAAATATGACATTTACGAGATGTGTGCAGATACAGTCAGTGTCTGCTCATCATAAG